AATGCACAATTAAATTACAAACACAGACACTGTTCAAACCTGCTCAGTTCAGAGTTCAGCTCTTCTCATAGTACCCAGTGAGCAATGGTCTGACCGTTTGCGTTGGATGCACAGGGTGCCAAACTCTATCTGGGCAGTGGGACAGCTATGCTACTCCCCCAACCATGCTTAATTCACCTGGTACTTCCTGACTGTGTGATCACAGAGCTGATCTCCACCCTTCCACTGCAGCAAATAAGAAAGGCAGCACCTTTTAAAGACAAAAATGAAGACACTGAGGAAATGGAGGGTGAGAAATGAAGGTGCAGGTGGAATCCAAGGAGTCAGAGTTCCCGTGGAATCCAAGTGGAAGGCAGAGAAAGGAAACCAGGCATGCTTTGAGGAGGGTGGCGGATATAATTAGATGCTCAGGAAAATGCTGAGGGTGTGTAAGCATCTCCACCTGGAGGCCCACAGATCCTAGATGTGGGGTACGTCAGACACTGTGCCAAGCTGCACCGCACCCCTCCATGTTCAGGATCACCCTTTTCCATCCAGTTGACTGAACTGCAAACTCAAGTCACAGTTTTGGTCTCCATTGCCTCTGCCTTCTAGTGGCCTCCATCATGTGAACCCCAGACAGTCTCTCAGCTGCCGTGCTTCTTCCTGTCCTGTTCACTGTTTTTCACCCAGTTTAGATGTCCCCACCTGCCATTCTGACTGATGCCAAATCAAACTGCCCAGTTGCTTGGGCACTCTCTAAATTGCAGGCCCAGCCTGGTCAGGCTCCCGATGAAGTCTTTCACATTTCTATTTTTTGGGGGGTGGCAAATCCCAAAAGATTTTAGGGCAGCACTGAGCCTTGCCCACCCCAGCCCCTGACTTGTCATCTGCCCACAGCCTCTGCCCTGGTCCTCCCTGGACTCACCAGCAAGTGTGGCTCTGAGCCGGCTGGCTTCTCACACCTCCTTGTGTTCATGGGGTGGCCCTCAGCTGTTGCATCCTCCCAGCTCTTGGGTAAGATCCTCTGCTCTTTTGAAACTCAGCCCCACAACTCCTATTCTGGAAGTGCACCCCAAGGCCTCCTATCTGTGGTATGGGCCCCTTATTGGGTTCTTCTGGCCAATGCACAAACTCTTCTGTGTTGTGCTAAACTTTTACACACAGTGGGGATGGCAGTTAAGGCTCCATGCTTGCTAAGCATAGGCTTTACCCCTGGGGTACCCTCTCCACCCATAGCCTGTGCTATGCACTTATGTCTGGGCCAGTCCTTTCTCAGAAACAGACTCTGCCTCCCAGCTTGTGTCCACTGTACCTCTCAGCTATGAGCTGTACAATGCATGTTTCTTTGAGTGAAATTAGATCCTACTCAACTTTTTAACACTTCTATGGCACCAATCTAGTCTCATCTTCCAAGCTTATGTCCTTAAATAATGGAAAGACTCAGAAATGTGTGTCTACTTTTTGAATTCCTATCAGGAAATAACATATAAAATGTGACTTTATTTTGTAAAGAAGAGAATGCTGTCCAAGTGTTCCTCTACAAAAGCTCAGGAGAGGAGAACAGAGAGTGGAAGCCTCACAGAAGGAAAGGCGAAGGCCGATTTCACAGCTAACCAATAAGCAGCTGGTCCTATGCTAGCTCTCACAGAGCAGGTCTTGTAAGGTGGTTATTATCAGCATCGTGTTGCCGAAGATGAGGCTCCTGTTCAGAGAGAGAGAGAAGCTGATCCCGGGCAAAATAACTCATCACCTGTGAGCTCAGCATTTAAACAGGGTTCCTCACACTGCATCATACTGTTTTTCAGGACAACACCCAGTTGAGGACTCCAAGTAAATGAACGGAAGTACCTCTCATAGGAAATAGCAGTTAATTAAAAGGTAAAAGCTATAACTATTCTCATCTTTAAAACACAAGATGCTTTTCAACACTTAAATGCGAATAAGCTAGGTGTTTCATCCCAAGCCTCTGCATTTTAGGCAAGTCTTGTCTGGAGCAGCTTGGCTGAGGGGATCATTTCTCAGGTCACACTTTAAGCTGCACTGACACCCTTCAGTCCGTGGCCAGGCTCATGCTACCTATCATGGGCTCCTCCTTCCCTTCACAGTCCGGCTCAGGGTGCCGTGATGTCTCAGGGGAAATAAGTGGCTCAGCAATCCTGCCTGGGAATGGAGCTGCATTTGCTATTCTAGGTGCTACTTCTTCCCTGCAGGAGGTCTTGTATCACCCTTATCAGCAGCTGCACAGTTTGGCTGGCTGCCCCTTTACAGAGTTAACTCTTCTTATGCTACTTGGTTATTTAATGCATATTTATTGAATCCATCACATGTTCCTGCCCACGGAGTTCACTACAGTCCTCTCATCCTGTTTAGTTCTGTAGTAATATATCTGTTCACTCTGTCTGCTGCCTGTCTTGGCTGTTTATACACAGCTTTTTATCTCTGGGGAAAAATAGGTGAAAACAAGGAAGCCTCCTAATTATCTCCAGCATTTGTTCTGCGCTCTGCACAGAACAGATAGGAGATTTTCTCATAGTACTTGCCATCTAGTACTGTTGTATATTTTTTATACAACTTATTTTTGAATCTTAAATGTGAACTCCTCCAGGGAAGTCTCTGCCTAAATGTGATGCACAGTGAGGAGTAAACAGACAGCAGAAAAGAAGGTTTCCTACCGGACGGGCAGAGGTGTTTAAAGGAGGCAGCGCCATTTGTATTATCAGAGTTCGATTTTCAAAACCGGTCATGGGATTTAATTCTAATTAACATCACTCCCTGATTTTCCTCCAAGTAAGGAATTTATTCAATGCCAAACCAAACAGTGGAAGAAAGGCCCCTGGCAGTGGGGTCTCTCGTGCCCGTTTCTGCTCTCATGAGTCATGCTCACCTCATGCCTGCTACTGAGTGTGGGAAACTCAAGCATCTGGCTTTGCTTTACATTTTTTCCACTCGGTTTCCAATTCTCCATACAGTTTCTACTCTAATACACTTTGATGAGAAAAAGTATACCCTTAATATGTCTCCACAAGCCCTTCACATGTTTTGAATAGAGTATATTTTGGGTGAAGATAACAAAAATACATCCAATTGTTTAGCTGCCATGTTTAAGAATAACTAGATAAAGCTTCTCTTGTGGAATAGAAAGGTAACAGCTAAGATTTCATTACCTTGAAGTAGTTTGGGAAATAGGTATGTCTGCCAAAGGCTAGCTGGAGGATGCTTCAAAGATGGAGTGACAGGCAGAGAATGGATAGGCGTCTAAATAAATAGATGGGGGAGCAGACATGTTCGGAAGGTGCATGATTGTACACAGAGAATTAGGGTTATATAAATGGGGACTAACACATGAATGGCCAGGTGAGTGGTTTGCTGATGGAAAAATAAATTGGGGCATTGGTGTTCCATAGAGCTGAGTGGCCAGGTGAAATGAAGGCTGTGAAGTCCTATGCCGTGAGAGCACACAAATGGAAGGAGTGCGGTGTGGACAGAGACAGAGATGGTTAGGTAAACAGGAGGAAGTGACAATGAAACACATCAGGGAACAGGAGAGAGGAAAGGAGGAACTGAAGGGGTGGTTAAGGGGTTGAATTCCCTTCCGTTCATTAGTTACGATTTTAAAATAAACCTGAAGTGGCCAGGGGTTTAGCTCAGTGGCATTAGCACTGTCTGGCAAGCACAGGTCATGAGTTCAAACCCTGATTAAAAAAAGAAAGAAAAGAAAAGAAAAGAAACTTAAGGAAATTGGAGACCCTCAGTCATGCTTACCAGACTAAACTACTGTTAGCCTGCCACTTTGATCCTCAAAGAGAATGCATCTGGTCTACCCAGGATCTGTGTTTCTTGCTCTGGGAAAACTCAAGAAAAGGTCTAGATTACCTCTTGTCTTCGGAGGAACTGACAAGAATATCAACCTCGCCGCTGGAACTCAGTTTTGGTTCTTTCTTTTTTCCAGAGAAGCTATCTCTGCTGTGAAATTAGAATCTTCATCCACATTCCATTGAGTTCCTAGGCACTGTTCCTAGACTTTATTTGAGGAATACCTTGAGAAATTCAGTGTAATGGAGGACGCGGGGAAGGACACACTGGACCGTAGATATTTGAACTGTAGTACCGGAGGACAGAAGTGGGGGTGTAACCGTACAACTGGGCAGATGACGAAGCCAAGACTGTGAGGCCAAGAGGCCACCCAAGGCTGCACACTTACGGCGGAACTAGGCAGCCTTCACAGAGAAACAAGCACTCGACGAGAACCTGAGTTGTAAGAAAGAAGTTAATACACAGTCCTGCAGAAAACCAGATGAATGTGCGATAAAGAATAAGGACTGGAATTTTACTGGAAGAGAAGGTGTTTTGGGATTGGCATCTGCCATGGGGCATGTCCTCCAGGGCTCTCTGTCATGTTAATGCTTGCATAGGTGCTCCACAAAAGCTAATGTAAATAAAAGCTAATTCTATGGCACATGTTATCAGACAGGAATGTCCACGAACAGCACCATGTCTTCTCATGCATACTCCTGTTAAGGTGGTTAAGTATTCCTGCTTCAGAGGAACCAAGAAGCAGTAAAGTTTGCAGAGTAAAATGCCTAAACTGGAGAGTATGTAGTCATCATTTTTCTGAAACTTCCCATACATTCTGGCCTAGGTCAACATACAATATAGACTTTGAAGATGCAGAAACCTTTAAAATTATTTTTAAATAGTATAATCACTTTATATGTAGATATTATGTGAAAAGTAATGAGACTATCTCTCTCTGTGTATACACTGCAGTTTGAGTATGTGCAGTGTATATTTGAGATAAAGAGAAGGAGAAAGAGCAAAGAAGAAAAGAGAGAGGGAGGGAATGAAGGAGGGAGGGAGGGAATGGAGGAGGGAGAGAAGGAGGGAGGGGGGAGAGAGGTTGATTTCAGGTTCCATCTACTCCCCAAACCCTAAAACACACAAATAGGAAAAGCATCGCCCACTGCATTGTTCCACTCCCGGATCTCAAAGGCATGTCCTAATGAACAGTCCCCTAAAAGTTACAAATTTCTTCAAACTTTATTGATACACTGCACAATCACAACCATCTTGTATTCATCCTGAATTAGAAAAGGTTACAACTACAATGTAACATGCACAAAATTCAGGTAGTATATTCACCCTTAATACAATTATTGACAGAAATCAAGTCTTCATTGATTTTTGAAGGAAAAATAAAAAAGAAAAGGAAAACAACTCCAGAATGCTGACAAAGTCATACTCTTGTACTGTGTGATCGATTTTAAAGCATTTGAACATAGATTTGTCTTAAGGATAGTTGTGAAAGTGGGCACAACCCACTGTTTGACACAGCTAGAACGGCACCGTTGATAAGTCATATATATTTTTTTTTAATCTAGAGGACTCTGAACTTGACAGATACATTTTCGTACACCCACACATTCCTCACAACTGCACTTTACGTGTCACAAAAATTTCTGAAATGATTAAAAATGCTCCCTTTAACTAACACAAGGGTAGGTATTATTACTTATCATTGTTATTATTGATATCCTTATAAATCTGCCAAATAATATAGGATGCAGCCCCAGCAGTGTGGTAGAGGGGTCACAATCTTTATTTATGCACCCAGGGTTGTGGAACAACTTTGTGCCTCAAAAGGGCACCAGTGAAAGAAACAAAAGGGATCTTTTGGGAACTGCTCGAATTAGGCTTGGCTGCCTGTTTCAGGATGAAGACAATTGCACCTAATCAAGTCCACGCCACCACTTTCCTTGGACTCCAAGTGTTCTGCACCTGAAAGCTAAATTGCGCAGGATCAGCGATTGTTGACATGTCTTTCAATTGCAAATCTATTTCTTTCTCCTTTCATTTACTTCTCTTCTCTTATGTAAGAAATGGGGGAAATGAGACCAGCATTTTTATTTGTTTGCTTTTAATGATCAGTAAGAGTTCTCCTCACGTGATATCTTTATAAAAACATTGTCTTCTTACTTGCACACCTGTGAAGTTTTACTGTAACCACTCAAACTTACTTGTTTTAAAAGAAAGAGATAGGGAATCCTCAGCTAATAGGAGGGGAGGCAATTGGATCTCAGAGTTTCCAGGAATAAGGTTTGTGCAAAACACAAACAGAAGTTCTTCCTGTTGGAAAAAAAGGAAATGAAATGGCATCCTGTCAGCAAGAAAAATGTTATGTTGCTTCCCCTAAGAGACTGAACTTTTTAGGAGGCTGCTTCTAGATATCGAAAAGTGAATTTTTCTTGCTCTGGTGAGAACTCTGGGTCAAATGAGGAAAGATTCTCCCTTTACCAGGTCTCCACTTGTCTTAAGACAGCCTCTCCTCCTTCCACGATGGGACTGGTGACAGCCATTGTACAATGACAGAGATGATGTGCCCATTGAGCATCGGTGCACAACCACACAGGATTCCATTTCTAGCCCCTTCTGAGGCAAGGGCTATGGTGAGCTGCCTTTGGGATCAACTGCCCACTTTGGAGTTCTCTGCTCTTTTGGTGTAACAGTCCTTCTAATGAAAGGACTTGCGAACTCATCCTAATAGAGAACACGTTGGCCATACTGACACACAAACAGATGCTCCAACAGCCTCAGTGATGTCATTACTAGAGACCTCAAGCACACTTCACACTGGGTTGTAAGAACAAACTGCCCAGCATGTGCAAGGTATTAACAAGTAAGAGAAGCATGTTCCAGAGGGAGAGCCCAGGTGCCATGGCTACCTAAATCCTTCTCTTCCTTCTGTTCAGCTGAGCACAGATGCAGTCAAAGACAGGTGCATTTCTCCATGCACAAAATATGTGTGTGTTTTCACAACCACTCCCCTCCACCTCCAACCTCCCCAATGAAAACAAGAATGAGAAAAACTAAACACACTTATTTAGACTTGCAGAGGACTGTATCAGGCACTTGACATTAAACTAGGGAAATACAAGCTTGGCTGAAGCCTTAACACTAGCACTTTCATCGGCATTGCTTTGGTGGGACACACATGGGCTCTGTCGCAAGAAGGGAAAGGCTCCAGGGTACCTGCCACAATGCTGAACCCCTCTCACCTGATAGCTCTGTAGAAGCTGTATTTGGTTTTCTATCCACATGGAAAACTCACAAGCTACTGGTTGCTCAGACTCCTTTCTTCCTCCTGCCTGTATCCCCACCCCACTCCCACCACTGGCCCCTGAACACATCTGTCCAGCAGGCTTTATCCAGCCACCCTCCATGTGTGATGCTGGAAAGACATATGCAAGTGTGGATGCTGTCTTTAATAAACACCTGCTTTTTCAGGAGGTTGGGTGACAGCTACCAGCACAGGGAGCCATCCCCACCAAAGTAACCCGAGTGACACAGCAGTGAGAATGCATTTGTTGTGCAGAAGTATCGCTCACATGCCCAGTGTCCCAACTGTCTTGGGGTTTATGCACTTGGTTTTCTCTACTCCAGCAAAGGGAGGCTGATCAATTGTAGCATGCTTTTCTCTCTGTATCGTGACAGGACTAGGTAATCACCAGAGATATTCCCTAGTATCCAGTGGTAGGGGACAGCACAGTCCCACTCATAGTGACCCTGAGACCAGCCTTGTGGGATTGGCAAGGTTCTGATGATCTGCTTGCCCAAGAGAGGTCGACCTCCTGCTTTAGAACATGTCTCGGAGTGAGGAACATGTCCGGCTTGTCCATTTCAAGCCCTGTGTTCCCCAGCACCATCCAGTCTGCACATTCACTGTACTCCAAAGCAACAAGCAGTATCACTCAAACACCGAAATGATGCATTTCCTTCTCATACAATTTCTAAAACCAACTCAACTCCAGGTGCTGAGTGTGGTGACAGATCTGAAACATTGACGCCCAACCTCTCGCTCTCACTTGATACTTGCTCCTGATCATGCCTGCAGCTTGATCTTGGCACATCAGTTATGTTCCCAGAATCTGGTTGCTTGGCAGTACACTAGGCAACGCAGATGTCTATTCACAGCTGGCAACTGTAATATTAATTTTGTTCACATCAGTTCTACCTCTAATGACAAAGTCTAATTTTTGCTTGGCAAAATAGCCTAGGTTTGTATATATGTATGCATGTATACATATATTATGTGTATAGGAGTATGTATATAGTTCCACACTGTGGTTCTCCTGTTCATTTACAATAGTGAGAAACACAGAGAGGGCACTTGTACTGAAGGAAGAGAACACTTAAGCATTAGGGATACAGAATTCTGTAGAGCTTGTGATTATTATTTCTTAGAAGGTGGACTGGAAGCTTTTGAGTGGAGGCAGGCCAGGCCTCTGGGTCGTCACTGTACTTTGCTCTCATCCTTCAGCAGGTCAGTTCCTGCAGCACAGCATGGTGTGGCTTTCGCTGCTGCTTCTCTGAGTCCTCTGCTCCCTTGCTGACTGAGTCCTTCTTGGCCCGGGAGACTGCTCAGAAACACTGTATCCATGCCTCTTTGTGAGCTAGACCTGATTTGAACCCGAGAAGCTGGGGACATTCCTTCCCAAAGCCCCTGGAGAAACAGCCTGCGTCAGAGGGAACTGGGGCACGTACACTTTTCCCCTTCTGTTTGCAGCGTTGTGTTAATCAAGTGCTTGGAAATTAAGTCAGTTGCTCAAGTGCCCTCAGCTCAGAAGAGCTTTGTGAAACAAACACCAGAGTTGTCAACACACCCGCCATGTAATTGGCCTCCACCAGCTTTTTACTGGATAGTTTCCAAACAGATCAAACCAGAACTGGAGCAGAACAGGGCTGCTGAGCTGCAGTCACTGCACTTGGGAGCAATGGATTGCTGTCTTTACGTCACAGAGAGAGCTGCTGTCTTTCACATTCTTGGCAGTGAGGAAAGCCAGCACTGAAGAAGGTCCTGTAAGCTCCTGCATATGATTTCAGGAAAGGCTAAGAGAAGCACAGCGGTTGATACCTTAATCCTTCAAAGTATTCGAGAAGAAATGCAGGGTTTGTCATGGATTCTCCAGAGCTAATCGTCTTCTCGTGAAGGTGGTTTCAGGAAACAGTTTCCTCTGGAAATAGTGAGTGACTAGTGGTTATACTGCTGCTGTGGTCCATTGGGAACAGTGTCTAATCTGGGTGGATGGGTTACCATATTCCAGAGGCAATGACCGGGGTACTGCCTTTCCTTCTTGTTAGCCTGTGAGACCACTGGCTCTCATAGGAGATGCTGATATGTAATTTTGCAGATGCTAACTTTTACTGATGGCACAGAAGAAATGCAAAGAGTAGGGTAATATGACAGATTAATATGGCAGTCAGTTGGTGATGAGTAACAAGCAAAGAAATAGAAAGAAATGTTAGATAATGACATTGATAGACTGATAACAACATTGTTATAAAGACAGGTGGATGAAATAAAGCAGACAACTGAGCCAATGGGTAATCACATGATTACCTTGATAGACAGCTTGATAAAACCTAAATAACCAGCCATCTATTGATCTTTTTTGTTCAGCATTTTTAGGAATATTATTCTTGTCCTGTTTTTTGTTTGTTTGTTTTTTAGTTTTGGGTTTCATGCATAGCCCAAGCCTCTAATCTCTAGTCAGAGAAGAAATGAGTAGGGACAAGAAATGAGTAGGTGAGAGAAGAGGGTAAGGTGGGCACACACCTTACTCTCTACAGTGTAGAGAGGCAACTAGAAAGTATGTAAATCCTTGAAATTAGGTAACAAACATGGGAAGAAAGAGACATACATTCAATTCAGGATAATGATCAAAATCTTAAAAGATACAGAAAAACAGAAAATGGGGCACGTGGATGTGACTTTTGCTGTGTACTGCATTAGGAGTAACCTTCGTCTTCAGGGTGTTTGTCATGAAATGCATTTTTCTGCCCATATGGAACTTGTGGTTTGGGGTGTGTGTATGTGTGTGTGTGTGTGTGTGTGTGTAGACTGGTAGCAATGACAATGGGAAGAGTAGTAAAGGAAAAGGAAGGGCCAAGGTCGCAGGAGCAGACTCCACTTTTGGACACACCAATGAATGATTATCCTACACATGGTAGAACCCTGCCCACCCCGCCCCCAGCCCCACTCATTCCAACTGGAAAAAAACTCAAAATCAAAATACCCCCTGCAAAAAAACTGAGAAGGAGAAAAGGAACAAAGAAAAAGAAGCCCAAACTGATTTGCCCTCCGCAGTGTAGATTAAAGTCTGTGATATGGAGAAGCAGACGTTGTTCAGAGGACCTATGCTTTCTTATCAAAACTTGATGAAGAGGTGAGCAAAGAGGGTCCCTGAGAGCCAGAGACAAGCCAACGCTCTAGAGGCCGAGTTAACACCATCAATGACTGCTCCAGGCCCTGTGTAGGGGAAAGAGAGACAGACCCATTAGCAGGCACCCAGAGGACACCATATACGTTCCCTGACAAGCAAATGCACAAGCATGCTGCCCTGCGAGCATCCCCCAGGGTCCCCCCACTATGTACTACTGACCCTTCCAAGTCTGCATGAATCCTCCCTCTGGGAGGATTTGGAAACTCAAGGGAGCAAGACATTTGGATGTGCAGACCAGTACCACCTGCTCTGAATGGGGAAGCTGAGGGTGCTTACTTAGTCTGGTGGGCCTAGGGGACAGAGACACAGTCAGGCTCCACGGTGAAGTAAACATGTGGGCCCTTTATGCGCCTCTAACTGTCCTCTGTCTGCGAGGTGGAATCCAGCAGAGCCTGAGGTGAGCAGGTCAAAGGCATGGGAAAGAAAGGGTTCAGATGGATGAGAAGCAGATGAGAGTGGGAAGAAGGGGACAGGGATGCAGATATTTTGTGGGCAATGGATGACTGGGAATGTGCATGGCAGACTCTTTATAATGGACATGTGTAATTTAGGTGTTGTGGAAAGTTCTGCAAAGCTCCCGAGGAAGAGTGAATAATTGCCCATGAGGGTTTTCAGAGTTGTGATTGGTTCTACACAAGCCATCAGTGCTGTCTCTCCCATGGCCAGAAGAAAGACTTAGCATCCCTAGAACTGATAACTCCCTGATGAATCAGCCTCAAGGAATTCTACCTCTGTGTCTTTCTCGCTTTTCCCTTCCTCTGCTCTATCCCCACACCACACATAAATCATTCACTGTCTACCGGGAAATGAGAATGCAGCATCTGGGTGCTATTTTATTGTGTCTTCCCTATGTTTCAGGAAGACAAACCCTATAATCTGGGATCTTCCTAATCTACAAGGGCTCAGGGAGGATGCATCCCTCATTGTGCCTCTGTGTAACTTTAGTTGCAAGCACTTCGGATCATAAGTAAGACGAGGAGCTCAAAATCAGAATATAAGCTAGGGAAAGTAAAACTGTATATTATCAAATGATTAAAAGCCGTGGAAAGGCAATTTTGTAAAACAAGTGACCAAGGAAAGGGGATGCAAACAAAAGGCATGCCCTTCCTGCCAGCTCAAACTAGACCATCACTGCCTCTTTGAGGAGCAGATTGGCTTACTAGAAAATAAAGATTTTTAAAAGCTGAGATACTACAGGTTTTGCTTGGACTAGACTCAAGATACTTGGCTTGCCTGTAAAGTGTATGACATGCACAGAACTATGCCTTGCTTGAGAAAGACCTGAGCAAACCTTTCAGTTGCAAAATTCAGGCCTCTCACTGCAGCAAGAAGCATACAACTCTTCCTAATTCAAGGATTTCCCCGCACACACAGCTTTTCCTCTGACTTAGAATGGATGCAATGCTCCTATAGACTAAAGTCATATTTACTTGGTAGTTTTAAGTCTGGCATATCTTTCTTTCCATTCTTGCTATCAGATATTCACAAACAAGAGTAGGATTCATGTTCTAGCATAATTCAATAGTACCATGAAGGAGCTACATGCATTTAAGGAAATTCGCCTAATCCCTGGGCCTATAGCAGTCCAGAAATGCATCCTATGGAAACAAACTAGCATGAAAAATACTCCAGGTTAGAAAATGCTTAAGTTGAAGCCTAAGATAATTTTCACAGTGTCTTCTACAAGTGATGAATAGCATAGATTTATAAGATGATGAGCAATGCATATTCGTAAGGCTGACACATTTCTTTAAGACTATGTAGCATATATATATATATATATATATATATATATATATATACATATCTAGTGTCATACTTGGTTATCTGCAGGACTATTGGTGTTTCTGGATCCTCTGCAGATATGAAAATCCATAGTCTCAAGTCTCTTATTCAAAATGGTATAATATTTGCATAGAACATACATACACCCTCTTTTATTTTTAAATCATCTCTGGATGACTTATACTACCTAATAAAGTGTAAATGCTTTGTTAATAACTGTTATAGTGCACTGCTTAGGGAATAATGATAGGAGAAAGATAATGTGTGTACTCCTTGCAAGAACAATATTTTCTATCCTCTATTAGACCCATGGATGCCGAATTCATGGATATGGAGGTATACATACAGCCCTGTATACTTTTTCTTTCATTGAATATATATATATATATATATATATATATATATATATGACAAATATGTACATGTGTGCATATTTATTGTCTAGTTTTTTATATTGCTAATAACTTTGGAAGTCATTGAAAGTTGTATTCTACATTAGAGAATTAAAGTCTTCATTGTAGGAATTACTTTCTTATAGGTTCTGCCTGTGAACTTAGCATTTCTGTGAATGTAATGCCATCAGCACAAGGTTGGATACAACTAAAGACAGAGGACAGAAAAAATACATAAGGAAACAAAACATAAAGGACCGAGACATGGAGAGAAGAGGAAGCAGACTCATAGATAAGTGAGTGTCCCTGCTGGCGTAGGTAAGATGCTCAGGGCTGATTATGCAGAAGGTTTCAACTTCTACTGAGTGCTTCAAAGAGTGGAAATACTCTTGTCTGCTAAGTGTCTACTAAGTAACTTAGTCATCTCATCTTGCTGAAGATGATGACAGCACATTTGTGTTGTGCTGTCTATGTGTATAGTTCTAAGTTATAAACTATTGTAACTTAGTCATCAAAACTGTATGCTATATTCACTGTTGCTATTTCCCCTTTTAAAGCAAGGGAACTGAAGACAGAGAAGTCGAACAGTCTGTCTGTGCTCACATTAGTTGTACATCCTGAGCTGAATTAGACCAAGACCCTGTCCCTAGAGTCTGTACCCCTGATTGCTATGACTCTACTTCCTTCCTTTGGAAAATGATTGTCTGTATATGTTTTCCAGGGACCACGGCATCTTAGGGTGATGTGAGCAGTGGACAGGGGACTCAGTTTTATGTGCTTCTGCTGTTCTCTACTTGAGCAGCATTCACCTCTGAGGCCTTGATTGCTCCACCCGCAAATCGAGGAGAGGCTGATTTTGATGACTTGCATGGGTCTTCCTTATTAACTTTTTGAGTTATCATAAACGGAGACTCTACATCTGGTGCCAGGCAGGACAGCTGGTGAGCAGCCAGATGGTCTTCTCCAGATGGTGCAAAATCATCACCATTCTGGCCTTTAGTACCACTGTGTGACCATCTCCACCTGAGGCACAAGAGGACATGAAATAGTCCTGGACCCTGCACTTTCTCCTTTTGGCCCCAATTTCCTTGCAGCTCTAGGGAGTTGTTTTGCTCTTTAACAGGTACAATGAGCACCTGCTTTAAGTATCAGATGCTATGGCAATTTGCTGCCAAAGTGCCTCTAGTCAATCGGTCTATGAGAAATGACTGAGCTACCACAATCAGAGAATTAGTCTGACCCACTGTGGTGACATTAAAGCAGCATTACTTTCCCCAGACCGACTCACAATGCATTTGAAAGGTGGCTACTGGGTCAATGGCAGGACAGTGGGTCTCCTCAGGAGGATCCTTGGGGTTGGTTCAGAGCAGCAAAATAGTGGCTCATGTGCACCACTTTCAAGGCTGGGTGTGAGGGGTGTGAGACAAGGGCCATCAGCAGTGAACTGATTCTTTAATGGCATCTTTACTGTTAGGATGGAAATGAGCCAAAGAAAGCACGTGGCTTAAGTCACTCCCACTGGGCTTCTGCAGCTACAGTCATTTCCCTGACTTGGCCTAATGTTTCTTTGTGCTTTAATTTAGAAGCAGTGACAGATCGCAGAACCCCTCTGCAGCCCCATGGCTACAGCAGGTTTTCTCATGTTCAGCTTAGTGAATCTGAAGTCCTGCTGCATTTCAGGGGAGGACTTGGAATTGAAGGAAAGCTTAACCCCACCCCAGCCTGAATACACACTGCAGTGAGGCTGTGTATGTTTTTCCTTTACCATGGCTCCTCCAGGTCATACATTCCTGGGCTTCTTAGTAGGCATGGGGGAGTGAACATGATGCCAGGAATAATGTCAATAAAGAGGGTGAAAATTCTGGTGGTGTTTTCATTTTATCCTGTTAGTTGTTATCTAACACTTGGAATCCAGCATTTGGAACTGTGAGGAAATTTTTCAGTGATGTGGTCTGCTTCATGACACTGACCCTAGAACGCACCTGCGTATTTACCAAGGGCTTTGAGCAAAGGTGGGGATGAGAGGTAGGCTAGCAACAGGGCTCATGAGAACATGGCAGAAAAACACATACTGAGTCCCAGGAAAGGTGTCCTAAACATGCTGCCTCCTTGATCTCCCTGTTAGCAACCTTTGGGGTAAGGTTGCTAACAGCTCTAGAAGTGCATCTAATCCTTGCAATGTTGGAGTCAGACCGATTTAAGTTTAAAACTGGCTCTGTCACTTGCTGACCACATTGTCTTAGGCAAGGTACTTTGTATTTTTTTGAAATATAATATAGAGCCTTTAGTCTACATAGGATAGAAGGTGATTGGTACAGTGCTGGTACAAAGTAAACTTCTCCCTGAGGGAACTGCTGCTGTGAGTTGGTGAATCCACCTCACACGCTCCCATTCCTAGACAGATTATGCGCTTCTTTTCCAAAAACACTAGAGTGTGGATTTGGGAGGCTGTGAGTGGAGCAATCAGAGTTTATGGTCAGAATCCCTACTGTTGAGAGGCTGTGGGTAATGAGGCTTTGGGTGATGAGGGGCATTGAGCAGGGTGAGGGGAGAGATCCCAAACCAAGTTCCACAGCAAAGTCCAAGGATGAAGGAAATAGATCACAAGACAGCCCCAAAGAATTACTAATGTCTCCATGTTCTGAGCTCTGTTTTCAAAAAGACCAATGTCTTTGCTTTCAAAGAACTCATCCTTCTGGAAGACTGGGCATTGCCTCTTTCCTGGTCTAAGGAAATAAACAGGGAAGCATACAATTTTTTTTTTCTGAACTGCTTGCATATTTTGGTGAAAAAAATCATCTGAAACACATAACCACCAAATCTTATTCATCTCTGGAGTATCCTACCTT